ACCATATACAAATAGTACAGAACAAATTTGAAGTATAAATGAAAATAATATTATATGTATATATTCAATTTTAATTATACCAACCTCAGTAAATATGAATTTAAATAACGATAATGAACAAACGATAATTAATGCACGATGTTATTATATATGAATATTAGTATTTTATCACCAAATATGATCAAAATACAAATTAGAATCACCAATTGAGAAAAATACTATTGAATACTATTATTATTTTATATTTACAAATAATTGTAACAATTTTCAAAGACATTACGTTCTACAGTTATTCTATTACTTTATAATAAATTGATGTAATAATATATCTAAACAGATACCAATTTTTCTATTATTAATAATAATAATAATAAAAAAGTAATAATTTAGATTCTTTTTTATATAAACGTATGTATAATATATTTTGTTTATTTAATAAATAAATTATGATATAAATGATTAATCTTGAAAATATCAAAAACATGATTATAACTTACCTCTTCTTTTGCTTCTAATAGATCACGAACCAGAACGATGATTTTTGACAGTAAAATACCTCTGCAATCTACATTCAAAAAAAGTGGACTATGTACAATATCATTTACTGTCATCATTTTTTGTTTTGTCAATCTTCCAGCTGGTAAAGTCGTCAATAATTCCGTTAATATTTTACTTAATTGTGTGCCACTATAAACTCGTAACAAATGAGGTATTGTCGTTGGTAAATATTTTAGGCATGCCCCTTGAACTAACAAAGTTGCATCCGTCTCGTGTCTCATAAGTTCAACAATAGAATGCAACAATTCTGTTAAAGTTAATGAAAATTCTTCCTCGTCTTGATTAAGCCTGTTAAAATATTATTAAATATATTTTCTTTCAAAATTATTATTATAACAATAACAATAAAAAAAAGTGTAATATAATGTAGCATACTCGGTAAACAATAGACGAGATTCTACAATAAATCTCATACAATATTGTAAACTTTTCATTGTTTTTAATAACAAATCACGTTCTTGTCCATCACATGTACTAGCACTATCTATTCGTTTTCTTAAAACTGCAATTAATTTTTTGTAGGCAAGAGTTGCAGAAAAACTTTCAGAAATATATAAATCTAATATCGGTTGAAAATGTTGATATTTTCTATCCGATACAAGTCCAATAATGTAAAGAAGACATTCAAAGACCATGTCATCGTAAACATCACTGTCTGAGTTACTCATCAGGATATTAAATAAGGCATCCAAAACGTCCTAAAAGGAATTCTGTATAATATAATTGTCTATTACTATTACTATAATATCTATTCTACTACTATTACATACATGTATGTGTGTGTGTGTGTGTGTGTGTGTGTATATCACATCATTTTCAATATCATTATATATATATTAAGGATGAATATTTTTTATATAAATAAAATCTTACTTGTAAAAATTTGACTATTTCTTCTCCATCTACTTTCATCAAAGCAGTTAAAGATTCTTTTAAATCAGTATTATGTGATGCCCAATTAAGTAAACCTAATAAATCAACATTTTGTGTTAATTTAGTGGAGCAGACATTTGTTGCTATTAAAAAAGTATCTTTGTTGCTTAACGTCAATGAACCCAAAGTTGGTTTCTTCTCTGTATGTAATTCAAACTAAAGACAGAGGACAAAAACTATTATTAAAAAAATGTATTCTTAAAATATATTATTATATATCAATAATTATAATATATATATATATATATATATATATAAATATATCTTACTAATTCTATCCTTGTTGAAGGTAATTTTAAATACGATATATCTTTTTCCTCATATTTCTTTTGATCTAATTTATAGACTAACAATTCATGTTGAATATCTTGAAGTGTTGTACCATTCCTCTGCATCAATCTAACATAACTCAATGCAAATGGTTTTTCTGATTTATCTTTGGCTTCATTTGAACTTCGATGTTTAAATGTAAATTTCAGGTGTGCTTGTTTAAATTCATCTATTGGTACAGCAATTTTAAACGTTTCACACCATCGAGGTTTATCTTCATGGTAATATATAACGCTACGGTATTCATCAATTGGTGAAGTTCCACCCCCTAAAGTCATAACACCTGGAATAGGAGTGCCACACTCGTTGCATACCTTAACCTAATGGGAAATATATATATAATTAATACAAAAATATCATATTTTAAATATTAATGAAATAAATGTTGTATACATACCGTAACTTCTACATTTTTATCGGTAGATTTAGTTCCTCTGCTAAATTCACCGCTAATTAAAGTTAAATAAAGATCATTCCTTACATCACCCGGTAGAATTACTTCTGGAAATCCCATTTTTCTAGCAATGGCAACATTTCCAAGTACCAAGTGAGGATTTTCATCTCTTACCTATATTTCCATTACACAATGAAAATGAAAATAATGTTTACAATAAATAATACAATATTTAATTATCAAAATAACAATCATATATACATACTTGTTTAACATCTCCTCTAAGTAATTTCAAACTTGCCCATAATCCTTGTCCACCACCAAAATTATTGTTACTATTTCCTCCACTTTTTTGAACATTAGTATCTTTTTGTGCAATGATTCTACGTAATGTACCATCTAAACTTTCTTTCTCACAACATCTGAAAATAAGCAAAATAAAACCAACAAAAAAATCCTTTTTTTCAATTTTTAATAATATACACATATATGTATGCGTAATATAATATTGCGTTAATCAATAAGCAATGTTAACATTTATTATCTAAATAAATGATAGGATTGTTTTTTATTGAAAATGACGACATTACTAATTGATTTTAACTTAACATTACAATGAAGAAAATATAAGAAAACAAGATGCTTACTGTAAAAATTGAATAAAATGATGATATTCTACGTCTCCTTCTGATCTACCTGTGATGTACGGTGTAATATCCATAGCAGCCACACCAAATGGCCTTCGCATACTTTCATTACTTTTAATCTTCTGATTATTTTGTGCAATACTTGAACGACGATGATCTATTTCTTTGGCTTCCATACCTCCAACTCTAATAACGTAACAAGCTAAATAAACCTTATCTCTAGCTAAATCTCTGGAGCCTAGATCAGTAAATAATACTCGAAGATTATGCAACTGATCGATGTCTCTAGCGAGTCCTTCTTTACTCCAAGAAACAACATAATTTTCAGTGATAGCTTTCATTTCTCTACCATCGTATAAAGTTAAAAGTAATTCTACATCCTCTACCATTTTACAAACAAAATTTTTAACACTGACAAAGAAAATATGAGAATATACAGGTGTTTGGGCTTTCAAAGTTTTTTTCTTCGTTTCATTGGTAGCTTTTCTGATTCTTTCGGCAGCTGTTTCATGATGATAATACAATTGAATGGTACTTGTATTTTCTGGATTCATAACGTTCCCTTGATCATCTCGTACAACCATATCCAAGCCCAACAGTTGATTACCAGTATCTATTCTAGCTGTTGCTAATCTTTTAAGATCCTTCAATTCATCTATTGTTAATGTGCCTTGTAAAATTTTGCTTCTGTATCCTATTAATTCCAAAATTTGTTGTTGCATCGGTATAAAATGCTCCGAATGTATCTGTTATGCATAAAACTTTACAGTAAGCTAATATACTTTACGTATACTTCATTTTGTATATATTAATTGAACAATATTTAATACATACCACATACAAATGTTTCCAATGATGACCCCATTCTCTTAAAACACTAGTTATCTCATGTATTAATGTATCTACATTATTTTGATGATGTAAGATATGTATATATGATTTAGGAAAAATTCCAGTTGTACCTTTAATCTTTTTACGGCCATAATACCACTCTCCGTATTCTTCATAAATTTGTACAACATCTCCAACCGTTAAGGGTAAGGCACAAAATCCTTCCTTGCCAAAATTGTAAATAGCTGAAATAAGGTGCATAGACAAATATTAGACAAATGAATATTTTTATAATAAAGCTGATCAAGACTAAATCATTTAGATTCTTATACGATAGTTTAATACATTTCTTTTTTAATTGTGATCAATTCATTTTTTAAGGTTATAAATTTTAATTAATTTATTATACAAAGAAATAATAAATTGATGTTAATTAATGTCATTGGATATAGGAAAGAAAAATTGTTAAGATAATTGTATTAATATTTTCATGAAATGATAAAAAAGCTAGAATAATTAGAATTTAATGTCATCTTAATTTCGGGGCACCTCCCAGGACGTAATATGTCGTAATGAAAACACTAAACAAATTTCTTAGTCAAAAATTTACTTACCAACTCCTAGATGTTTTTTTATACGCTTCCATGTCATTTTGACTTAAAACTGACGTTTAGTTTATGTATATATGTATATATATATGTATATATATATTAATATAATTAAGTATTTTTACGTATACATAAAAAAGAAATTAAATATACAAACTAAGCAATTACATGTCGCCGTCGGATGTGCGCATTACGCATATAACCAAAATATTGTATTTTCATCTTAATATCTAGATAATACGATCTTTAGAAGAGCTAATACTCCTTATTCTAGATTTTATCAAGACTTATCCAAATTTATCCCCTACACGTTTTGTTACAATAGATTTCTTATGTTTCTATCAATGAACAAATACACAATTTATTCTTCCTTGTCAAATCTATATTATATTTAGTCTACGACTGTTATAAAGATTAGCAGCGCCATCATCATCATCTTATCGAAACAAATTGTATCTTTTTCTTTTGTTGTTGTTGTTGTTGTTCTATTTTTACTTAATCATATCTAACCACAGCAAAATCACAATTTATAGTTTATAGTTTAATTAGAACATTAGTGTGATTTTTAAGCATTTAAAAATAAAACAAAAAAATAAGAAAAAAAATTTTTTTAAAAATTATATTCCAGGTGGATAAAAATATTATAAATGATAAAAGTGTATGTATATAATTAAGATAAAAAAATAAATAAGAGTCACGATTTAAAATGAAATGACGTGAAAACAATAATATAAATAAGAACGTTGTTCTATTATCATTGTTTCCTGTATTTTAAGGATTATCTTGTTAAGACTTTGTATTTTTTAAATAAGTGTTCAGATATCTTCTTTATTATCTGATTGATGTCTGTAATTTGTTATCTATAGTAGGTATTATTTTTGAATTTTTAAAGAACAAGTATCTAAGAACATTTGAAATGATATTTTTCATGTTTTCAGATCATCTTTAGCATACTATTATGATATAAAAATATTAACAGACAATATTACTATATAGATGAAGGTTATTGCAAATTACAAAGTTATCCATAATCATACGTGAGAAGTATAATCTAATTATGAATCGTGTAGATTTAAAAGTTGTCTTATTAGGAAATGCAGCGGTTGGAAAAACAAGCCTTTTAGAACGTTTTGTAAATGAAAGATTCAATGAGAATTTAGCCTATCAAAACGTAATTAAATAATTTTTAAAAATAAATATATATATAAATCTGTACGCGATAGCAAAAAATGCTAAAGTTTACAGGAATATTTTTGATATTTTTCTTCATTAAATGAGACACTGAATATTAACAATTATTTATAGACAATAGGAGCTGCATTTGCTGCTAAACAAATGGAAATAGATGGACATAATATTGTTATGGGAATATGGGATACCGCAGGTAACGAAAGGTATGAATATTACACCTCTTAATTCTATCTAAGATTGCATTAAATGATCATTTAGATATAATGCATTTTTACTAATGAATTAATTTACTATTTACATATTTCTAATAACATTACATCTTCTAAATCTTGTTTTTTTTTCTTTTTATATTTCAGATATGATGCAATGACAAGAATATATTATCGCGGTGCTAAAGCTGCAGTAATTTGTTATGACGTTACAATGTCTAATACATTTCAGAAAGCTAAGTTTTGGGTAAGAGAATTAAGAGCTATTGAAGAAGATTGTAAAATATATCTAGTTGGTACAAAAACCGATATTTTATCAAATCCTGTTATAATAGCGGATCCAAGTATAGATATTGTAACGAATTATGCAAATGGTATTCAAGCGAAATTTTTTTTAACGTCAAGTAAAACCGGAGAGAATGTTGGTAAGATTATATATATATATAATTGTATTTAATCTTTCGATTAAAGAGAGATAGAGAGAGAAAGAGAGAGAACATATTTAATGATTTATTTCTTGCAGCTGAATTATTTACAGAAATTGCTACCGATTTCTTATCTGTACCAGAAAACTTACAAACAGTGGAGGAAACAATAAGCCTAACAATTACGCCTAAAACATCGCATTGTTGTTAGTCCATAAAAACAAGTACAGTATTAAAATGTTGTTTAATACTTTTCTTCTTTTTTTTGTTTCGTACAATATTCAGATAAAAAAAAAAAAAAAAAAAAAATGTAAATCATTAATATTGCATATTAATGTTTAGAAGGAAAATTTGAACGTACAATAAATTATTCTTATACGACATAATTATTTAGTAAACAAATAATTGGTATTAGAACATATTTTGTGCTTTCTTAATCATTATTATTATTTTTTAATTTTTTTAATTAGAAAGATTAAATTAATTATTTCTAATTTTTTCTCTGACAAGATGCATTTTGTATATATGCATCTTTACAGTAATTGTGAATACAATTGTTTGCATTTATATATATATATAAATATATATTACAAAGTAATGTACATTTTGCTAAATAGAAGCATTAATTATTATATTTGAAATATTTTTTGTTAAAAATGTCTTTTTGAAATTTGATTTGAAAAGTTTTTTTAAAAATCTTTCATAAGTTAATTAATTGATTAATTAATATTACGATGGTGCCATATTTAAGCGAGAAACTGTGAAAATTTTTTTAGATAATTTAACAACGATTTACTAACAATACAAAAAATCAATACTGTTGTTTATTATAAACAAAAGAAGTATTGTTATATATAAAGTGCAATGTTTATTTAGTACCAAATAGATATGAGAAAATATTTATTGATAAAATATTAATTAGAAATTTGGAATAAGATATATTTGCTTCTTATTAATATTTTTACTATGTTTTATTATTTTGGTCTGATGTATATGGGAAAATTGAAGCACAAATTTCCCTTGATTGTTCATAAATACCAAAAAATACAAAACCACTAATAGTAAAGCCACCCACCCTTGGAAGAAAGCCTGCGAATAATCTAAAAGATATTTAACAATCATTTAAACTATGACAAAGCATTAAAGTTATAAAAAGATGCATGACAATACCTAAGAAGACTTCACAAAATAAAAAGATATAATTTGTTCATACCCTTTAGGTCCATTAATTCGATAAACCTCTTTCAACATCTTCGATATTTTCACTTCCTTTTTATCCGCCGTAGTAGATGACAACATTATTCTAGTTTTTGCAACATCCAATGGAGTTGTAATGATCGCAGAGACTGCCACTATGAAATAAAATCATTCTTAGGGTTATACATTTTTAATAATATATTTTACTGATGATGTATATAATAACATTATTTAAGTATTGTCAAAATGAATCTCACCAGATGCTGCACCGCAATAAGCTCCTTCTAATGGTGTACATTCACGGTGCACGTGCTGTTTCCAACAAACTTTAAAATATTCCCATAATGGCATTTGTATGCATCCAAATGGCATATCTCGAAGAACAGTACTCCCATATCCACGAAATAATGTTCGTAATTTTAAACGAGACACGTCGGATAAAAGTGCTTGTCTTCTTTGTTTAAGTACTTCCACTGGTACTCGTATTAAACAAGCGACCTACAATATAATTATTATTATACGTTAATATAATTGTTATAAGCAAAAATATTTGTTTATAATTGTATCATGATATTTGTACCTTTATACTTTAATTTAATTATACGGATAAATACTTATTTTTAAAAAAATTCGTATAAATAGTGTTGAAATAATTTTGTTACCATTTCACCTAATGATGCAGCACCCATATGTATAAACGCATGATATTGTGGTAATATTTGTGGTTGTAAGAATTCTTTCAATCCCTCATAAGTAATGAAGAATAATGCAGCTGATTAAAACAAATTATTGTATGATGCTAATCATATTTGTATTTCTATTTTTCACTATTAGTTTTTGTAGAAAAGATTTACCTGCTGGGGCAGAGCCCATCATTACAGGTCCTATACCATGATACAATTGTTTGTAACCACCTGACTTCATGAATCCATGTTGACTCTGCAAACGTGTTTTCAGAGTATCCAATGGAAAAAATATTATGTCACAAATAATTCCTGCAGCAGCACCTGACTAGTAATAATACAATATTATTAAAAGTTTATATATAATTATAGCAAATAATTTTATAATTCTTTATATATATATATATATATATATATATATATATATATATATATGTATGTTTCTCATAAATAATATTGTTAATTATTTTTATATAGTGCAATGTAATATAATAATAATAATAATAATAAAAGAAAAATTGGATCGATTATCTCTTGTGTGTTATATTTATATAATATGTATTATTTATAATAATAATAATATATTAAAAGTTAAATTAAAAATGATGTTTAATACTTACGATGATAGACGTGGAAAAGAAATGTTTAGCATTTGTAATATCGTTCGATTTTACTTCTCCAGTAAACATTCCACTAAGTAAAATACTTAATTATCGGTGTATTATTAGTGAATATATCCAAATTCTGATTTTATTAGACTATTTTAAAGAGTTACTGTATCGAAGTTTTAAAAAATTAGACAATATTAAAATGATAAATTTAAAATGCATTAACATGATCGTATTGCAATAAGAAATAATATAAATAATATAATGTATTTTTCTTTCTGTCAAAATTTCTTCTTTTTGAATGCACTATTTATTTCGTAATGAAATATTTCTATTTAAGCGTTGAAATGAATGCTTGAACTTAATTTATAAATGATTCTTGTTTAATGTTAAACTCACCAATATTATTATTATATCTTTTTTCTGTTATAATAAAAATGAAAAAAGTATAAACAATGAAGTCACGTGTGCCACTACTCTACTCTATTGCAGCTACTTGCATCAATCGATTGTCGTCTGCTACCGAAGTGACGTACACATATATATTGACAATTGAGTTTCTGCAATCTAACCTACAAATTTCACTAGAGAATTACATCAGGTTTGTGTCAGTTATTTATTATCTATGACAGATGATATGAAAATTAGCAATATTTATAAAAATATTTGAATCACCGAGTGTGTATGTTGAATGGAAAATTACTAGATTAAATTAGGACATAGGGAAATTTGACAAATTTGACAATTGCATATATTAGATTCAAGTATAATCGTTGAAGTGTTTTTGGTTATAATGTCAGTAGTATTTATTAACTTATTATGTCAAAGAAATGATGTAAAATGAATTGTCATAGAAATATGATTTCGCTTATGTTACAGATATTCTACAAATTCAACGTAATATTATTGTCAACATCAATGTTTATGGCGGGAATCTCGAAATGTTGAATGTTTTTCGTTAGATATAAATATGTCGCAATCTATCTTAAAAAGCAGTTTAGAAAATGCTTCCTTCAACATCATATTTCAGGTATTATATCTGTCAATATTTGTTCTTTTAACAAGATTATTTATTTCTACTGAAAATTTTCTATATCGGTATATCCTTTTTTCATACGTAGATCACAATTCTTACAGATAATATGTCGCTGTGTAACATTTGTTCTAAATGCTTTTGTGGTACGTCATGTTGGTCAAGCAATTTTAGGTGTCATCAATGTTAGATTACTACTTTTAGAATCTATGATATTATTCTTATCCCGTGAACCATTTATGAAAGCGTGTTTAACTAATACATCAGAACATAACTGGGCTCAAGTTGTAAATTTATTATGGATGACGTTAGTATTCTCTATAATAATTATAATAGAAATTAATTAATTATATTGTTTTCTTTTAAGATTATTGATTAAAAGTATTAATTAATTATATTTTTCCAGAGTACCCATTTGTATTGTAATGTCTTCTCTCTTTGGATATATTTGGCTCTTTCTTTTATCAACTTCTGAAACTTTACCTCCTTACTATACATTTGCAGTATGGGCAGTGGCATTATCATGCATTATAGAATTATCATCTCTAATTGTACAATTAGTTGCTAATGCATTCCTTTTTGTAAAACTTAAAGTAAATTTGCCTTTACATTTTTATATTTGAATTTATGTTATGTTATAAACATACATATACATATATATATAATTTTATTTTCAGGTTGTATTAGATACGATCATGATTACTATTCGTACTTTAACGTTTGTACCATTAATACTTTACTATCCAGAAAATGCTTTGTTTGCTTTTGGCATAGCACAATTAGTTGCAGCAATATTTTATACAACTAGTTATTATTCATATTTTCATTATTATATTAATAATATAACTAAATTTAAACAAAAAAGAAGAATGTCTTTGAAGGATAAAAATGATGAATATATCTCAACAGAGTTTCCATTTCGAACAATAAAGGATTTTTTGCCAGGTCAATTAGAAAATAGTGTATGTATTTTTTTTTTTTTTTGAAAGATTTTCTTTTTACCTCTTTATAATAAAAATAAGAAAGACATTTTCAGGATTCATATTTAGATAAAAAATTAACCATATTGACATGGAGTTTCTTTAGACAAGGAATTTTAAAACAAATTTTAACAGAGGGTGAAAGATTAATCATGACAGTTATGCCAGTACTCTCATTTACCGAACAGGTTCGTATTTCATATTAACAAATATTCTTTATTTATATTACATTTTATTATGATATATTGCATAATAATTATTATTATTATTTGAATATTTAAGGGCACATACGAGGTCGTCAATAATTTGGGTTCTTTAGCTGCAAGATTTATTTTTCGTCCGATTGAAGACAGTGGATATTTTTATTTTACACAAATGGTTAAAAGAGATAAATCTTTGTTGGAACAAAATCCAGTAAGTATATAGAAACTTGTCAAATAAATTTATATGAAAAAAATAAACACAGAAATATAAATAAAGAATAATCAATTACAATTTGCAGACAAAAATTCAAGAAAGTATAAGCGTCCTTACGCATCTGTGCTCAGCCGTTACATCTATTGGCTTAGTAATTTTAGTATTTGGACAATCTTATTCAAGTACATTACTTTGGTTATATGGTGGTGCAAAATTGATATCAAATTTACCAGTTCTTTTAATGAGAGCGCACTGTTTGGCTATATTATTATTGGGTATTAATGGTGTAACTGAATGTTATACCAATGCAACAGCTGACAGTACTACTATAAATAAGAACAATTTAATTATGATTTATGAATCAGTAGCATTTCTGGGTGCATCATATTTATTTGTTATTTGGTTTGGACCTGTCGGTTTTATACTTGGAAATTGTTTTAATATGAGTCTAAGGATTGCGCATTCAATGGTATTCATTAATAAACGTCATTTAGGTGCAACTCAAAATCCTTTACTTGGACTAGTACCAAAACGAATGTTTTCTATTACATTACTATTAGCCGCAGTTATCACAAATTTATCACACGTAAAGAAATTATTTCCCAATTTCATAAATAAGAATTAAAAAATATTCTAATCAAATTGTTATTAACGCATTTTTGTGTGTGTATTTTTAGGTCTATTTCTTCCCCGATGAAAAAATGCTGCATTTGTTAATTGGATTGATAGCATTTATAATGGTACTTATTGCATGGATTTATGAACATTATGAACTAATTAAACTTGGTGGTAACAAGTGGTATGAACGGAAGAACAAATATAAAAAGAATGATTGACCTTAAATTCCCAAAGTGTAAATAATTTATTAGTACTTGCATCCTTCTCTCTTCTGTCAAAATGAGATTGTGGTGCAATTCAATAATATTTCAAAATCATAATCATAATAATAATAATAATTTCTACTTCCTATACTTGGAAAGTGATGATACTGTTTGTTATGATATAACTGGGCACGAAATTATCTTCCTTCTTATGTGTATAAGAATAAATAACAAAATATATCATACTTTTTAAGATATCTTAATTAAAAACAAGGCCAAAGAGAATAATATTAACTTGCGACATGTTTATAAATTGCACCAACTACTGGACCTTGTCGTTGAATAAGACATTTCCTATAATAAATTGAAAGTATATATTTTCAATTTAATATATACACTTCGAAAATATGCATGAAATTTCTAAATACATTAACTAACGTATTATCAACATTACCTGTTATCATTTTGAATAGTGACGATTGGAAAAGTTGAAGAAAATTCTAATTTAGCAGCTTGATCCGCAATGGCTGCTATAATACCAGCGCTATCACTTGAGGCATTACCTTTGACTGAAAAATATATATAACAAAATATTCTTATTAGTATATACATTCAAAATAATATGCTATTATAAGAGAATAATTTGTTTGATAACGTACCTCCTAAACACAATCCCGCACGATCAACCAAAATACAACCAATTGTAGTTTCATTGTTTTTTCTAGAAAAATAGTGGAGAAAAAAATACTTATAAAATAAGACAAAGCTGATAACTCAATAAACTGACAATGAGACTTATTACTGTGTTGTTTGTTAAAAATCAAAACAAAACACTTGCACACACAAAAATGCACAAACAATTATAACAATTATGAAGTAATATTTGATAACTTACACTTCGTCTAAAGTTTTTTCAATATTCTTTTCCATAATGAAGTTTTTCGTAAGCACAATTAAAGAAAATCACAAAAATAATAACGACAAGTTGAGAAAATACTTCTTAAATATCAATTTTTGTGTGTATACGTCGCCATATTACATTTACCTAACATAACCATACATCAAACATGGCGACTAGACATAACCTATAAATCATACTAATAACTGTCAAAAAGTTTGAATGAACAACCATCGAAGAATCGTGCGCACAATGTTACGTTGATTTATGTAATCACTATTTTTATATAAATGCATTGATTATTTAAATTAAAGCATTAAAAACAAATATGAACGTGCGTGCTCGTATTTTTATCCACAAAAATAATGAACATGTTTTAATTAGCTGTCAATAATTAAATATAACATTGTAAAATAAGTAACAACATAAATTAACGCGTATCTAATAATCGTTAGTTTTTTTAAAATTAATATAATATTACATAATGCGATAGCATTTATTTCATTAAAAATTATAAAGAAATCAATGCAATAACTGAAGTTAATAATGGAAACAATGTCTAACCAGAGCACAATAAATATTGACATATCACGATTACCTTTAGATGTAAGTTGATTAAAGTTAGTTAATTAATTAATTGTAATTGTCAATGTTCATTAATACAATGAATGAGTATGAATGATATATGTGATAATAAAATATATTGCTGGAAATATTATTTAAAAATTTGTTCAGGCAAATTCCTTATATTAACATTTCTTGATATTTTTCCTATCAACAGGTAATTATACATATAATGTCATATCTATCTATATCGGATAGAATGGCAGCTAGATTGGTTAATCGGACATGGCACGATGCATCCCTTGCCACTGAATTTATAGATCAAGAATTAATGATTTTTGGTCCACCACGAATAGATCATTTGTATGACGTATTAAATATATTAGAAAATTCTTCTCGACCATTTTATAATTTCATTTTTAAAGAAGTGGAATTGAAAAGTACGATGTCTCTTTGGAGACAATATGGATCTTTTATAAAAAGTCTTCATCTGGTATAATAAATCAGTTATTAAAGACACGATATTAAAATGATCTATTTAAAAAAAAATATATATATATATATACATTCCTAATTAATTGTATTTAAAAATGTAAGTGATAATGAAATAATATTGTTTGCAGTTTTGTTGCGATTTGAGTGAAAAAACACTCATTGGGATTCTGAAACATTGTAACAATCTAAGAACGTTACACATCAGTTCTTCTCGAGAATGTTTTATGTCTGGCAGATTTTTAGACGATGACAGTGATATAAAAGAACTCTTGGAAAAATTGAAATTTCTACATGAACTTAGTCTTACTTATAATCGATATTTAACAGATGCTTTATTTAATCAATTTATTTCAATATGTCCTAATGTAAATACGCTCAGTTTAAAAGGATGTGAAATATCTTTTCATTGTGGCTTGTTTAAAAAATTTTATCCTAACAATAATGTGATTACTTATGCCTCAGAATCAGTATTAACATTTTTTAATATTTTGCAGTATATTACTACTTCTGCAAAACAATTGAAACATTTAGATTTTAGTCATACGCTTATAGATGGAACTTCTTTAGCAACTCTTTCAAAATTGGAGGATCTTAGATTAGAAACGTTAAAGTTGCAACGATGTAATCAATTAACTATCGTTGGAATTCGAACATTGACGTATCATCAAATTAATTTAAAATTATTAGACATTAGTTTTTGTACACGAATCACAGATGTTAGTTTAGTTCTTATATGTAAACATTTGAAACAATTAGAAAGTTTAAATATAAGAAGATGCAGGGCAGTCACAGATAACGGTATACAACATATACAATTACTAAAAAATCTCCGAGAATTAGATATTTCAGAATGCGAACAACTTACCTCCAAATGTATTACTGATGGGCTTTGTAATGAATCATTCAATAATTTACAATTTACTGACAATGAAATGGATATAGAAGCAGAAAATATCGATTTTAACAAACAAGAAGCAGACTGTTCCACAAATAATGACATTCGAAATGATCGAATGTGGAAGCTTTCTGTAAATGCTTTGAATCTCGATGAATCATGTATTACATCTATAGTTAAATGTTTTCCAAATTTAAGATATCTCGATGTAGGCTATTGTTTCATAGCTATTACAGATATTACAATACAGGTACTGAATCTATCATATTGAACTATTTTTATTTCAATTAAAAACATGATTATTTATTTTTTTTTTTATAGTTACTTATATTAGTAGAATATATGTATGTTTATATTTTTCAGAACATATTTGAAAAACTTATATTCTTACGAACATTAAAAGTTATTCATTGTGACAGAATAACAGATGCTGGTTTGATGGGTATTGATACTAGTGATAACGTAGATATACAATCTCTACAAGTTAATGTTATCGAAAAGCCATCGGAATCATTATTAAGAATCAGTTTACGATCAAGAGCAGAAGAAGAAATAGTATGCGATGCTAATAGAACGTCTTATATTAAAAATTTATTGAAGAATATTTCAACTTCGTCACCTTTAACAATGCCTGCATTTAGTTTGACTCGTTTAAAAGGACTTAGAGAATTAGATTTCTCAGGTTGCACTAGAATAACTGATGTCAGTTTGAAACATCATTTTGCTTTTATAGAATTGAGAATATTAAGTCTAAGGAAATGTTGCCAGGTAAAATATTAGAAATTATTTTCTTCCAATATTGTTATTTACAATCTCAATTTTAGATTAATCTTATGTATATTACAGATAGAAAGACTAGATATGTATAATTGTATGATAAAAAGCTTAAATGATATACTTTTTTTTTTTTTTTTTTTACAAACATCGTTATGTTTCAATTATTTTTTTTCAGATAACACATGTTGGATTAGAATATGTAGCAAAAAATAACCCTGCTATAGAAGAATTGGATTTAACATTATGTTACAATATATCAGATTTGGGTGTTTCATATCTTGCTATGTATTTACATAGATTAAAGCGTCTACACCTCCAGGTATACTAATTATTAAAAAATTTCAATATATATATATATATATTGTTTCATTTTATATCATTCAAAATTAAATTAAATACTATTTAATATATTGTATTTATTTTAATTTTGTTTACTCTTTAAAGATTTTTAACATCTATAATTTTGTTTGTTTTCTTTTTTTCATTAACAGGGTTGTACACAATTAACAAATCAAAGCTTAGAATATATACGAGACAATTGTAAAAGTCTTCAATATCTAGATATACGACATTGTAAAAAAATAACAACTTTTGAAATACGTAGTTTGCCTTTTTTGCACATTGAATGCACACAACCAACAGAAAACAATTTGTTGTTGGATAATGTGCATGTACCAATACCACCACCTATGTATAAATAATATCTTTTTTTTTTATTTTCAATTTTATACTTTCAATCATTGACAACGTATATATATGTATATATATATATTCTATATTTTTATGATTAAGAAATTGAGATATATTTAAATGAAATTAATTTGATGTATTGTTAATTATTAGTCAATTAATTAATTAAAGTAGGTAGACTAATATTTTTAATAAAGTGTTTGTAATGCTTTTGATTTATGTATATAGTTTAGATGAAATTAATGTACAAATTTAACAAGAATGGAGATGTGAAACAAAAAAAAAAAAACGGTACTTATTTTCTCTTTATTTGCCTTTTTCATTATTTAAAAATCTATAAAAAGCAAATAATACATTAATTAATTAAAAATGAATATCTTCAAATGTACATATGTACAGGCATAATTTTAAATAAATAAAGAACAAATTGAGAATACAAATACGACGAAAAATAAATCTTATTTTTTATAGTGAAGATAGAATTTTATATTTACAATGTATTTAATTATAATATATATATATATATATATTTATATATATATATATTATATACTCATCATTAATAGAAAAAAAAAAAAAGTTGAAATTTGAATAACTATTCCTTGAAATAGTTTTACACTTTTATATCAATTTTATGTTTAAGTTTTTATATCTTTAATTATTTATTTATTTATTTATTTATTTTTATTTTTTTTTTAAATTTTATTTATTGTTTAGTTTTGTTTTAATTTTACTTTACAAAATTATAATGACACTGAGATAAATGACATTGCCTTTGAATAAGTGAATGCAGTACTATGGCTGCAGACGTAAAATGGGTGATATTAAGTCTCTGACTCAGAGGCCTGAAATTAAAGAAATACGTTTACTAATATGAATTTGTTATTTTTATTTAAATTTTGTCTGTACCCACAGTGACAGTTTTAGAACATAGATGAGAGTATTGCAAATATAGTTAAATCTAAGTGTACAAACATACCATTTTAGATTTCTTGTGATAATGAAAATATTACATTAAATCAGATTATTATATGCGTAAGAAGAGAAATCATTTTTCCATATGCAATAATTATTAACAAAATTGATATTTTTCAAAGCAATGTATGAAAAAAAAATATATATATATATGTATATATATTATCTATTCAAAACATATCATACATTTGCTTCGTGAAAATGTATTTATTTTTTGTTAAAAAAAAAAACAAAAAATAAAAAAAAAACAAAACAAAAAAAAAGTTGTTTTAACTTTTAATAAATACAGAAAGAGAGAGAGAGAGAGAGTAAAAAGCCAATTTTTACTTAATTATTTAAAATCTACTTATATAGCACAATTTAACTCAACGCCAAAAATATTTGTTATATATTAATTGTTTCCTTTTTGATTAATTAAACTTTTGTACATCATTATTGAAAATAAAAACAGATAATAATAATAATAATCATCATCATCATCTGTATGGTTGTTGAGCATAATAATATAACTCATATATATAAATATATATCAGCTCGCTTCATTAGTGAAATATCTCACTTCTGTGTCCGAAAACATCACTGACCGGATGATAAGAAAAAACTAACTTACACTAGGATCGCAGTCAGCACAATGCCAAGAATAGCCTCTTCTTTTTGGAGATTTCTTCACCGGAGGGTCTAAACACGTGAAGTGATAGCATTTTTTACATTCATCGCACCTGTAAAGAAGTACAAA